AAGCTTTCGTGGACTACAGCCCACTTCTTCGGATGCATCCGAAGAAGTGGGCTGTAGTCCACGAAAGCTTGGGCTGTAGTCCACAAAAGCTTATGCTCTAATAAATTTGTTAGTCTCTAAGGTGCCACAAGTACTCCTGTTCTTTTTGTGTGGTAATGTTTCCTTTTCAATCCACTTGCTTTTTGTAGATTACCACAAACTAGAGGAAAGCCAAAATATCAATTTAATGGAAAATAAAACTTAGTGAATTAAGGATAAGCCTTTGCAGTTCAAATAGGCTGGTGTATATTGGGGAAATTTTGATCATCCACAAATTTAAAAGTCAGTTTTCTTAAAGAATGCTAGATACTATGAGTATCCAAATAAATACATGAATATGACTGTGTACAAACCGTAGGATGTGCATTTGAATAGACCAGGGATGGCCAAACTTACTGACCAGAGCTGCATACTACGATCTTCAGAAGTTTGAGAGCCGGGGCGTGCCTGCCGGGGCTTGGGGCTGCAGCCCTTCGGCGGGGTGGTGGGGCTAGGGGCTTCTGCTATGTGGGGCCTGGGGTTCTTGCGGCTTCAGAACCCACAGGGCTTGCCTGCCAAAGCTCAGGACTTCAGCCCATTCCTGCTGAAGCCCCAAGCCCTGGCAGATGCCTCCTGTGAGGCTGAGATCCCTAGACCCCACTCTTTGCTGGGCAGAAGCCCCTAGCTCCACCACCCTGCCGAAGGGCTGAAGCCCCAAGTTCCCCCAATCAGTCTGGTAGGCAGAGAATGGGGAGACCTGGGAGGCTCCGAGAGCTGCATTTTAACTGTAAAAGCCGCATGAGGCTCACGAGCCACAGTTTGGCCACCCCTGGAATAGACTTTACTTGGTCTTTATGTGTTATCATAGGAAAAATATATAATTAGGAGTGTATATTTTTCCTAATTTATAATGTATTGGAAACAAAGTTATTGTGCTCTTTTAAAATGTATATTTTATTTTAAATTTTTTGATGAAAAGAGAGCTGATGTTTAAAATGTAAGAGGAAAAGGGAGCAGCTTGTGGGGGGGGGGGGAGAGGGGAGAATGTGCATGTAGACTTCTTAAAGAAAACTTTTTTTATACACAAAACAAAAACACAGCCTCTTCAAATGAGCTAAAAATAACCAGAGGAATAAACTCAACTTCAACTGATTGGTAACATATAGTGGAAGGCTCTTTTTTAAAGGAATACCCTTTTCATATCAATGAACCTCATTCAGTTATTTTCAGTGTGATCAGCAACGATATTGGGACAGCTGCTGAGTCTGTACATAAACTATATCAATCTTCCCTTTCTAGGAAATTCCCAGTATAGCCAGCCGCAGGCAGGATACCAACAGGGAACTGCGCAACAGCAAACATATTCACAGCAACAGTACCCAAATCAGCAAAACTATCCAGGACAACAACCTGGATATGGTGAGGAAGGCTTCTTTGGCATGTCTTGTGTTTGCAATCCCTGGTATAAATTTGTCCATTCTGTACCTAGGAACAAACAGATAAATTGTCTATCTCCCTTTGTAGCTCAAGGCACCAGCTTTAACTTATAACAAATGTATCTGGTTCAGCCCAGTGGATGTTATCACACATCATACAGGATCTCTATCTCCCTGACACCAAGGGCTGGGAAAGCTGTGTAGACAGAGAGTACGTTTATTCCCCACATTATTGCCTTTTTTACAGGTTTGGGTGGCGGGTTATTATACTAGTGCTCAGGCTTCACCAATGTGAAATTTTTATGTAAAGTGGAAGGAATCCCACAAAATCACTACCACCTCACATAGATTTCTTGCAATAGCATATATGCTTTACTGTCAATTGGTGAGGAAAAAGGGTTGAATGTGATCTGAATATTCTTGCACTAGCACGCTAAACGAGAAATTTTGGTGCCATTCTGCTCACAAAATGATGATGCTCTCCACTACCATGTAGAGAATCCAGGCTTCATAGTTGGTCATGGTCTCTCTACTCAGATTAGGGTACTTTAGAAGCAGCACTTTGAGTCCCTCGAATGAAGAGAGCATTTCATATTGCTGATCAGCAAGTAGTGGTGTTCATGGTCTCTAAGAGCAATGGTCTGAACATGCTCAGCCACAGGATGGTGACCACATCACAGGACTTTGAGACTGGCATATAAAGCAATAAGTAATAGAAATATCCCTAGGGTTTGAGAGAGGATGTAAATGACCATTTGTGGGAAAAAGAAGCTTTGATGTGCCTGACTGGCACTTACAAGGTACACTGCTTCAGGGTCTTGCTGACCTTGGCAGCATTATAGGTATAAGAAGTATCTTTAATCATCTGTATCCTAGTAAAATAAAAAGCAAACTATAAGAAATTGTTAAAACTACTACACTGACTTTAATCTAAGCACTTCACAGTCCTCAGAAATGTTCCCCTTATTTTCTAGTTTTTACCTAGCCTTTTTCAATGGTTTGGAGCATCAGTTGCTGGCAATCTTCTGTGCTGTGACCCAGGAGTAGAAATGCATTTCATTCAGTTTGAACAAACTAATTTATAAACCACGTGACTAAAATGAACAGGAGGAATGTACTCTGAACCTAGGTCCATCAAAACAGGGACTCAGGATTTAGGGATGGTCCGAGTACTAAACTCCAGAACAAGGATTGCTAGTGCACATACCTGCATTAGTTCAAATAGAAAACTTTACCTTGTTGATATCGCCAGTCCGATGCATCATAGTTCTGAGGTTGCTTTGGGTTCCAGATCTGTCCTTGACACTATTTGTTGCTATGCAATTGTACCAACCTTGAATGTCTATCCTTCTATATAGCAATAAAACCTAGATTTCTGATCACTATATTAAAATATTTTAATTTCGCTTTACAATATTGGTAAACATTTTTGACCACCCAAACCGGACAAATATTATAGGTTTAAATTATAGGCCCAAAATTTGGTTAACAATGTTAAAAAAACATGGGGAATAACCTTCTAAATATTTTCCCAAAAAATATCCATCAGTACCTCAGAAAAAAAATTAAAAGAACTCCATTTGCAGTTTATACACATGTATTACTAAAGTATCTGCATGTCCATCAGACCAGTTAAATGTGTAGCTGGTCACTTGTGCTCACAATAGCATTCACCGGTTAGGCATGAAGTTGCTTGTGCATTTTCTGAAAATAAAGACTACAATATTTTGGGCTTTTCTGATGCAAAGCCTGGCAGTGGGAATAAGCAAGTTACAGCAAACTAATCTTATTCACAAACTGATGCAGGTATACATTTAAAAAAAAAAAAAGGCAGAACTGTGTTGACTTTTGCATCATCAAAAACAATAATATTATTCAGCATTTAAATCAGTATTTAATTTTCATACTACTCCTGTGAGGGTAAATATCACTAATTTACAGATGGGGAAACAGTTTAAGTGACTTGCCCACAGTGATGAAGGGAGTCAGTGTCAGGATCAGGATCAGACGTGCTTAGACCATTAGACAATGTGTGTCTTCAACAAAAAAAGGGAGAATGCAGTGTTCATCAAATGGAAAGGACAACCAAAACTGACAGGAAAAAGACAGTATTATTACAATATTAAAACCAATGAAGTAAATAAAAAAAGTATAAAGTTTTTGGCATGTCTTTTTAAATAATGAAATTATCGACAGTAGAACCTCAGAGTTACTAACACCTCAGGAATGGAGGTTGTTCGTAACTCTGAACAAAACGTTATGGCTGTTCTTTCAAAAGTTTACAACTGAACATTGACATAATAGATTTTGAAATTTTACTATGCAGAAGATGCTTTCCCTTTATTTTTTAGTATTTTACTTTTAACACAGTACTGTATTTTTTTTGGGGGGGG